CCCCCCCCTCCTTCAAAAGAAAGTATAGCAACTTCTATTCAAGACAGACGGGTATTTTTTATTCAATAGAGGGCAAATGAACAGGCTTTAAGATTTTACCAAAAACTCTACATGCCCAAGACCTGAAGGGCACCTGATTTCACCGAATCGTGATAATATATGTTTTAGATCTCTTTCGGTATTTCAAGCGTTATTTAAGAGGCGGGGCCGCCGAATTCAACTTTGAGCTCAAACAGAACCGTGTCAAGTGAATGTAAAGCCGCAAAAACGTCCTAAAACAACCAAAGTTTTGAACATCCTGTTGAGAATTCGAACCAGGGCCATTCGCTCAGTAGTCCAGCATGATGCCAAGCGAGTTAACGTTGTGCCCCTGCTCTCTCATGAAACAAGCTTCAACATGAAGTACACAGTTATGGTCACCCAACTGAGTACGTATACACAAAACAGGACGGCGTTAATATGGTCTCTCAACAGCTGACCCAGTTGAAGATCTCTGGCAGTCAGTTTGGACTTAATTTTACCTCTAAGCCCCAATTTACCTTCTTTTTTGCTTGCATGTTGATTCTCTTGAGTAACAGCTTGGTAATGAGTCGTAGATTTAATGTAAGAGGGACTGCTGGTACAATGTTCCTTCACGACGCGTGATAGATTTGCTCCTTCCTCTATACGCTCAGTACTGCTTTCGCCGCCATAGGATATTTTGCCAAAACTCTGGAGGTTAGAAGAGTTTTTGTGATCAGAGTGATCTCCCCTTGGGTTTACGCCATCTCGCTTCTTTCCGAGCTTGGGAGGATACGCGTCTAAAGGAGAGGCAATATGGCCGCAGCCCCATTTCTGGTCCTTTTTTGTGTTATGTGTCCAGTGCATGTGCACTATAGTGGCAACCACAGAAATACCGCTGTTGATCAGAATAGAGAGCAGATATTCGCAGATCAAAGGGAATGAATTTGACGTTTGGGGCAATTGTTCAGAAACAAAGCTAATGAAAACAGCGAGCGAAA